CTATGAAGAAGTGTTAAGAATTTTGAAATTTCCACTTTTACTATTGAAAATTTTTATCATATTTTTGAAATTTACCAAAAATTTTCGAAGATAGAAGTAGACGTATTACCTGACAGGACACAATAAGCTATTCCCAAAGTTATTGTCTTTCTTCACTCGTGTCATGTTCCTAGTCTGTGTTTTTTTATAACGCCAGATAGTTTATAGATGATGTATGAAGTGAATTCCGTGTGTTCCACTTTCCAACTTAAGAACTAGAGAAGATTAGAACATCGCATATTCATCTTTTAACTGACTCTCAGTAAAAATTATGGAGAAACGATTCATCATATTACCATTAATTGAAGCCAGTCAAATAGGACAAATCTGAATGAATCATTGAAGAACTATTGCATGTTGAATTCGTGTTATAAATCATTCTGATCTTATAATTTTCGGCAAAAGTTTTCTTTTAATAAATCTTAATCCACACTTTACATATACTCTTTAAAAAAAAGAAAAGAAAAAGAAAAGAAAAGAAAATTTATCTACGTTTCTGATTATATAAAGTTAAATTTTCTTACTTCTTTTGAATAAAATGGCTTGACATATTTACGAGTTCTTCTTACAGTAATCGTTTATACGTCGTTCAATATCTATATTATTAAAGTATATATATCTGTGATTTACGAAAGAACCGAAAAAACATTTTTTTATAAAGTTTAAATTGTATTTATTTTCATAAATGTAAAACTTAAGTTTATATATACTTTAAAGGAATTATACAGATAATAAATTTATGAATTGATTCTAAAATTTTACAATAATTAATTTAAAAAAATCAGCTAAATTGTGGAAATGGAAAATTTTCATTTTTTAAATTAAGAATCTTTAAGAAACAAATTGTAAAAACGAGTCTCATCTTCTCTCTCATCCTCTCACTCTCTTCCTTTCTTTATCCTAGACACTTGAGTATGTTCTATCCCATAATAATAATAATAACAATTAACTAAATTATATTAACCACTCCAATCCATAAAAGACTATACACCTCCATAAAGGATGCAATTATAATAATTATTATAATTGTTATTACAAATTTACAGATTGACAAATGTTAGAAAATCATTCGAACTCTCATAAATATAATTTATATGAAGGAAAGAAAGATTTTTATGTAACGGATGAGGATTTTTAGGAGTAATTTTCGTGTACAGGACAAGAGAAATTGCTTCTCGCAAATTTACTTTTCGTCAAACTTTAGTTTACATTGTGAAGCACGAAGAAGCATCTCTTTAATTATAGCCATCTTGTAAAAGAAGTTTTTGTACAAGTAAAGAATGACATTGAAGAATCGTCTCTTTGAGTTTTAAATTAAATATTGTAAACTCGGCCGGATGAGGAGGCGGTTAAGATGTCATCTTATTCGTCTGGGAGGTTCCTGGATCGAACGAATCCAAGCGGTGGGGAATAAACCCGAAAATTTTTCGGGGGTGATCTGACCCTATAGCTTTCATTGTTGGCTTGGATACGGGGCTTCAAGAGGCTGGGGATTTTTTTCTCGAATTCGGAGAAAACTTAGGGATACTTATTGATTTTATCCCTATAATATCTTTTTACATATAAAAATCTTTCAGACTTATTATTATTATTAAAGTCAAGAAACATTCTACGTATATCATTTGACCAAAAGGCTAAGGATCCGCTCTACCGTGAGTCAACAATTTTGTAAATTTCTACATTGTGTTGTTTTACCGTTACACTGTTTAATGTATCTATTTTGTATTTTGTTTATTTATAAATAAATGAGATGCAGGCGTCATGAGCTCCCACCGTTTCCTGCCCCAATTTCATTCCCTACTCTTCGCAATTCTCCTACCTTCCGTTCTGTCCTACCTTCTTGGTTATACCTACGAGTGGTACCAGAAGGTCCCCTCTTTCAATTTTTAACCTGCCCACTGGACAAAAAGAGTAAAAAACGTTAGCAATGGGTTGCTTATCTTTCCCTGCAATATTTAAAATTACTGTGGCACCATCTCTTATGATATTTTATTTTTAAAAACTTTTTATATTTTTAATTATAATAAAGTAACAAAAAGCTTAATTTTGAGGGTAGGGATGCTAATAACGAATAAAATAGTCATTAAATCCGACCATATTCGAGATACGATATCTCCCCACCCCGTCGACCTTTAATCATCAAACTTTAACAACATCAATCGCTCTAATACTCAAACATCCCTGCAAATTTTAAGAAATATTTGATAAAAAGTACAGGAGTTATTAAGCTTCAAACAGGGTGAACAAAATCGTTCCATCCTCACATACACAGTAACATCCATCCATCCATATATATATAAACCCCTTTTTTTTTCTCTCTCTCTCTCTATTTCTCGGCGTTTCAAGGTCCCCTGAGTCCAAAAATGTGAAAATCTTAGGGGTCATTTTTGACCGATCACCGTAATTTACTTCTGTTATATATAACAGAGCCAGGAAAGTAAAGCAAATTAGTAAATTTTAATTCTACAATTTACGAAAATTATAGAATTAAAATTTAAAATAATTAATTTTATAATTTTGGCAATTTACTGATATAAAAAATATACTATTATATATAAGATATTACATTATTAGTGTTTTATTAAATTAAATAAATTAAGATTGAAACAATAAGATTTAGTTTATAAGCTTTGTAAAGTAACATATTACATCGTTTGGAATATCTACATAATTACATTATATATCGTTATAATTTGTATACGAGATTCTCATAACACACTTATATCACTTTAATGAATACTTTGGTATAATATAACTATACATTTATTATAATGAAATATAAATACAATATATATAAACTAGATTATAAAATTATAATTCTTAAATGGATCAACCTTATATCAGCTCAGACTTTCACAGGAATTACCATAATAATAGTCTTTGTTTACAAAGAATATTATTATGGAAATTCCATCAAAACAACAGGATAAAGGATTTCAAATATACACTTCAACGAGTAGAGTCTAAAAATATGTCACTTTGATTTCGTTCTTTATGGACGGATCTTCACGAAATAATTAAATTCTTATTATAATTATTTATTTTCTTGTTTAATTTCTAAAATTTTACTTTCTTAGAATTACTTATAAGAAACTTTTAACTAAGATTTTTTCTGTTTCGTGAGAAGAAATCTTAGATAGAGTCACAATTTGATTGAGCTCATAATCTTATAAACCTATAACAGAGTATTGTGGTTTAATAGTATACACATCTCCATTTCGACAAATGAATAATAATTTCCTGAGGATCAAACTAAAAAATGTTTAAAGTTTAAACTCTTTTAAAGAGTTCCCAATAGAAGAGAGGAAATTTACTATAGGATAGAAGTTTTCAGAAATAAAGAAATCTCTTGAGAAGAAATACTCTTGGTAATACTTGGTAAAAAATTAACTTTTTTTTTACACAAATATAAATAATATTTACGAAAGAACCGAAAAAACATTTTTTTATAAAGTTTAAATTGTATTTATTTTCATAAATGTAAAACTTAAGTTTATATATACTTTAAAGGAATTATACAGATAATAAATTTATGAATTGATTCTAAAATTTTACAATAATTAATTTAAAAAAATCAGCTAAATTGTGGAAATGGAAAATTTTCATTTTTTAAATTAAGAATCTTTAAGAAACAAATTGTAAAAACGAGTCTCATCTTCTCTCTCATCCTCTCACTCTCTTCCTTTCTTTATCCTAGACACTTGAGTATGTTCTATCCCATAATAATAATAATAACAATTAACTAAATTATATTAACCACTCCAATCCATAAAAGACTATACACCTCCATAAAGGATGCAATTATAATAATTATTATAATTGTTATTACAAATTTACAGATTGACAAATGTTAGAAAATCATTCGAACTCTCATAAATATAATTTATATGAAGGAAAGAAAGATTTTTATGTAACGGATGAGGACTTTTAGAAGTAATTTTCGTGTACAGGACAAGAGAAATTGCTTCTCGCAAATTTACTTTTCGTCAAACTTTAGTTTACATTGTGAAGCACGAAGAAGCATCTCTTTAATTATAGCCATCTTGTAAAAGAAGTTTTTGTACAAGTAAAGAATGACATTGAAGAATCGTCTCTTTGAGTTTTAAATTAAAAATTCTCTCGCATTGTTTTATGCGCCTTTACTTTAATAACTAAAATATTATAATAAATTACTTTCTAACATATATAAATTACTAAGTATTGATATACGATAGAAATTATTTTAAAGCTGACATTAAATAATATATATACACGAGAAAGTAATTATATAATTTTTAAAATAATTTATTTATTTTAAAAATAATGGAGGAATCATTCACCAGATGGCAGAATAAATTTGAAAAATTATGAAATTTGTAAATTTATTCGTGATTTAAAAAACATTATAATTTTAAGGATCGATTAATTAATATGAAATTAAAATATAAATTAATTATTTTATTTTATTTTAAAATTCTATAAAATATTTACAGTCCATTTTCAATATAAGCGTGATTTGTAGAGAATGTTCGTTATATCGAGGGACTACTTCTATATGTGGTTTTAACGTAGAAGAGTCTTAATTATAATTAATTTTAAGTATAAAGCTGAAAAATGACCTTAAAATTATAAATAAACAACAAAATATTTACCAATTTTACCATAAAAACAACTATAGAGTTAATTGAATCCTTAAAATGAATGGTGTCGTATGATGATGACTTCAATATACCGGATCAGAATGCGATATAACGGAGAAATTCGATATAACGGGCTATACTTAACATTTAACGAATATAAATTAATTAAGATTTATTCATTTGAATAACTTTTATAGCTGAATTTATAACGTTTTGATGAAAAATCTTCTTAGTATTGCATCAATTATAATATATGTTAACTATGTTTTTATTTATAAAAAACAAAAAACAATGCTATTAGTTTCACATTGTTTATACCATGAGTTGCAATGTGTTAAACAGAGTGTTTATGTACCCAGGTATTGTTGTTGGCTGCTTTCGTAGCCGTGTCTGCTGATGATTATGAAGAAGAATTGGATACTTCACCCGTTCTCGCAATTCCCTTCATCGGAGGTCAGGGATTAGGAGGAGTCGGACATGGTGGATTTGGTGGTGCAGGAGGCTACGGACTCGGAGCCCTCAGAGGTCACGGATACGGCAAGGGAGCATACGGAGGTTTGGGACACGCCGCCGGTGGATACGGTGGATTGAAGGGCTACGGAATCCACGGAGTAGGCAAACACGGTGCAGGAGGTGGATACGGAGCCGGTGCAGGAATCCACGGTTTGGCAGGCAAGGAAGGTGCTTTCGGAGGAAAGTTCGCCGGTGGACATACCACAGCCGTCACCAAAGAGAAGACCTTCGCCCTTAATCAGGATTACGGCAGTGGTGCCAAGGGAGGATACGGCCTCGGTTTTGGTGCCGCTGGAGCTGCCAAACACGGTGGTGCCTATGGAGGAGAAGCCGGATTGGGATACGGAGGAGCGGGAGCTCTCGGTGGATACGGAGGATACGGACACTCCGGACACGGAGAGGGTGCCGATCATACTTTCGGTACCAGCATCGACTCTTTCGGAAAATTCGGAAAGATCATCGGTGGAGCCGGAAAGGGTGGCGTTGGACACGGTGGCACTGGCGGTGCTGGTATACCATTTGTTGGTTAGACCAAAATACCATTGTAAGCTGCTGTCTTTGTTACCTTTTGTGGACGTCACACAATCTTTCAGTCCACTCATCTTATTTAAAATCATTAAGAATTCCGATGTTGTTAATTTATTTTTCATGTTTTGACAACATTTTTTTATCATCGAAAGTCAAATAATTAATAAATTATTTTCCATATTTTTGTTATTTATTTATTTTATACGTTATAATATAAATTAGATAAACGTAATTCATTATTAACTCATACAACTCTTCTAAGAAATAAGTATATATTACCAACTTCTATGCCTTTTTAATTTATTATTATATAGTATTTTACAAAAACGAATATTTTATATTAATTAAATTTACATAGAAACTAAATAAACATTCAGACAGGACGTACAAAAATAATTGCGCTTTATAATTCATAATACTTCATTTATAATTCTTGTTCTAAAAATACAAAAGTATTAATTTTCAATTTAATTTATGAAAGAAGAATTTTCTCTGGATTCATTATAACTTCAAAAGAACCAATGTACAAAAATAAATTCATTATCCAATGTTAAATTAATTATTCGACACGAAAAATATTAGAAAATTAAGGTTAAAGGATTANATATATCAGAACTTTATAAGATTTATAAAAATTAAATGTATTTATTTATAAAATAATTTTTATATCAAAATTCTCTTGCTAATTATTCATTTTCTTATTATTTTTTTAATAATTATTTCATTTGTAATTTGATATTTCGATACAAAGTTTTCAATAGAAATTTTCTTAATTTACTTCTAAAAATTAATTAATATTTAAATAAATTTATCTTATAGTGAGATTTTTCTGTTAATGTTTTTTCTTGAGGCTATATTTATGTGCGAATTAAAATAAATATAAAAATAATTTAACAGCGTACTCTAAAGAGTTTGTTTTCGCTTATAAGAATGGTGGTAAGTTGATTTTTCTGTAATTTTATCTGTGAAAACAATAAGAAACAACAGTAGAAGTATCATATCTTCGTGACTATAACATACGATGGACGGTCAGACAATTTGTAAAACGAAAATAAAACCTTTTCATACCTGCCGGTAACGCTTTATAGTTTTATGGGGCCAATGCAAAGTTGAATTAAGGGCCTCCATGTACAGCGTTGATTTCAGACATTTTTCTTCAGATGAATTTCTTTAGGAAAATATTTTCTTATTAAAAAAAAAAATAGGTTTGTGGTCCCTGTTAGTGGGGACCCCAGGCAATTGCCATTTCTGTCCATAGAATAACGCGCCACTGCCTAGCACCTATGGGAGCAACCATTATTCCATTTGAGTGAGTTTGTAATAATAATTTAAAATCGGCATATAACCCGCATTCCTTTCTAAATTTATTTCAAACTTAGATAACCCGCGGGTTATACGTACAAAAAAAAATGGTAATTGTCAAAGGTGAATACAAGTTCGTGATTGATCGAAGAATATTTTTTAACCACTTAAACTTTGTGAATGTTATTGAACTCTACCTAAATAAAACAAATAAATAAATACGCCACCATCAATATGGCTTGTTAATTTTGTTCTTTATAAGATTAAACAAGATATAATACATGCATTTATGTAATACATCTTATTTTGTTTATCGAACACTCAAAAGCTGTGATTTCTAATTGGCACTTACACATAACGATTTCTATTTCTATTTATTTGTATTTGTATTATTTATATTCTGTTAAACAGTTTTAATAAATGGATATTGTTTATATAATTCTAATTTATTTTTATTTTAATGCAAAAGTTTCATAAGTCTAAAGGTCAAAGTTCAAATTTATTCTAAAGTATTCATCCTTTTTCAGTAATTTATTTTACATATAAAACAAATTTTTATAAATTTTTTATATATAATAACTTAAAATTCACAATCGTAAATATATTAAAATTATTATTTTATTATTTTTTAATCCAAAATTATAAATTTTACATATTTTTGAATTATTATTTTAAAATTATTATTATTACGCTTGAAAAATCTATAATGCAAATTTACTTTTCGTC